TTTGTAGTATCGTACACATCTAAATAAATGATGAACAAGAAAACCGCACATTTCTTTTGACTAAGATGCATGATTTCGGTTTGATTGCGTCACACATGTCATCATTTTCTGTATTTATTGTTGGTATTTCTGTCAAATAATCAGCACGTTTCATAACACGCCTCATGCGTTTCATTGCCGCCGCTCGAGAGCTGAAACCACAGAGCCATGTTTCAGACGGACCGCAGCGATCAGGAGCACCATCCAGTTCAAGTGTCCTCGCCGCTGCCTCTGTTACCATGGAAACCAGCTTCAGCATCAGCATCAGCACCAAGCGTCTGGAGCTTCATCACGGTCTGTCTGAGATCAGCCGTAACGGTGAGTGTGATGTCTTGTTTTTTATTGCTGTTTTCTTAAGCTGAAACAAATCCAGCATTATGTGGATTATTGTGATGTTTTTATCAGCTGTTTGGACTCTCATTCTGACGGCACCCATTCACTGCTGAGCAAGTGATGTCTTGCCAAGTGGTTTTACGTGTACATCATCTTCATTACCTAATCATGATCATTTGATCCCCAATAATTGTCTCAGTAGACCTGAAATATGAAAATGTTCAGCATATGCAGCGTTTAATAGTTTGATACTCCGATACAACTGCTTAAGAGTCACAGCCGTGAGAAACACAGACGAATCTACATCATACCGTGCCGTAATGAGAGACAACGTGATCCAAAGCAAAATACACTTTTCATCTGTGATCTTCACTATTATGTGTTCACTATTATTACATTTTCAAGAATTCCTACAGGTCATGGGTAAAGCCGAAAAAGCTCCATATCGGTAAATATAATATAATACAATGTTTATATATATATAATAAAATGAAATATTTTAAATGGAAAGCCCAAAGATCTAATAAATAAATGTAATACAAATAAATAAGAGTAATTAAACAGCTGTAAATTCCCCTTTTTATTTTGTACTTTAAATTCTCTAGTTTTTTAAATGACTTTAATTTTTTTTCTCAATCGTAACATAATTAAACGATGCTTTTAAATTGATTCATATTTTATTTTTATTTGATTTTACAATTGCAATATGTTTGCATTTATTGATTTAGCTGACGCTTTTATCCAAAGCGACTTATAAAAGAGGAACAAAGCAATTCATCATTTTAGATGCAAAAAGATCTAATAAATAAAAGTACATTTTAATTTACTTTTATATATAATGTTTAAAAATGTAGTGTTAATGTAATGTTTTTAAATTATATATATTAAAATGTAATATTATATTTATATTTAATATACTGTATATATATATTATATTAGAAATATATATTTGTTTATTTCTAAAAAATAACATAATATTTTTTAAATGTAATTTTTCAAATATTTTTAATTAATTTAATTATAAAACATTTTATTACATTATATTTACCGACTTTTTTTTTAGCATTTTAATAATATATAATATTTCTATTGAATTGTGGGTGAAATAATATCACCTGCACGACTTGATTGATAAAAACGATCCAAAAGACAATCGTATAAAACAGCGTCTTCCATAAAAAGCTGGTCAGATATATATATACTGTATATATATATTATATTAGAAATATATATTTGTTTATTTCTAAAAAATAACATAATATTTTTTAAATGTAATTTTTCAAATATTTTTAATTAATTTAATTATAAAACATTTTATTACATTATATTTACCGACTTTTTTTTAGCATTTTAATAATATATAATATTTCTATTGAATTGTGGGTGAAATAATATCACCTGCACGACTTGATTGATAAAAACGATCCAAAAGACAATCGTATAAAACAGCATCTTCCATAAAAAGCTGGTCAGATATTGCGATGCTGCCGGGACAGTGTTCAGGGCTTCTCGTGTCGGATGATCTTGTAGGTGATCCAGTAGAAGATGTTGAAGATGAGGAAGGCCAGCGGGAAGGCGGCGCGCGAGACGGTGTCGATCCTCTTCGCTCGGTCCACAAACTTCTTCCGGCTCAGGTCCGTGTCCTTCAGGACGGCCCGCCGAGGACTGGTTTTGACCGCCGTCTCGTCCTTCATGCTGGTGTTATCTCCGGAGAGATGCAGACGACCGTCCTGTAATTCCTGTGAGTTCAGAGAGAAAGAGAAAATCTGAGCATGAAAGCGGCTTTAATGAACCTGCAGCTCGAGGCTTTGTCTCGGGTCTCGAGGCTTCTGAAGCTTCAGGTGCAAATGTTTTGGTCTCAAATTAATGGAGCGACAATCCTGCAAAGCTTTCTGTGTTTTAGTAGCTTGTTAAAGGATTATTATCGTCTTTTAGCCCCTTAACTGTCACCGCCCCTCCTGTGGGACGCTTGGCGCTCTTTTGTTGTTG